CCCGGCGCCTGGCCCTTAAGTCCATTCAGTCCTCAGCGCCCCACTCCCCCAGCAGTCGCCAGATAAGATGCAGGCATCTAGTTACACGAGCAGGTCAGGTTACCAAAGAGCTCTTTTGTAGTATCAAGTTTGCACTGCCTGTTTCTTTGGGGGGAGGGGGATCACCAGGTCTTTCTTCCTAGTCTGTCTGAGTCTGCAAGCTCCCCTGAAAGCTGCCCACCACAGGTGATGGCCCTGCTGGTATTTGAAATACCAGTGGCCTAGCTTCCAGCTCCACAGCAACACGCAAGCTACCAGTGTGACGGTGGTGTTTTAGTGTAAGTATAACTCAAATATTGCCTGGGACATCCTTCTACTAAAACAGTATTCACAGTTCTTCTGAAATTCAAATAGGCCTGGCTGTTTGATTTGGTTTAGGTTTGGTCCTGTATTTCATTCGCTGGATCTGCCAACCCTGCTTCTGCACTGCCCTGCCGCTTTCTCTCCTCTTCTCTTCCTTCATCAAACTGTGCCTCAGTTTCTTCACCCGCAAAATGGGGTTAAGCATTGTCCCCACCACACAGGTGTGGCAAAGGGAAATGAAGGAAAGTAGCTAACCCCTGAGACCAGTGCCTGGTACATACTGTGTCCTGTGTGTGTTATCTCTTAACATAATCAGTAATGACCGTTGTTATTCCAGCACGTTCTGGTTGGCACCTGCTGTGTGCTAGGCACCTTGCCAAGGCTGGGCCCCCAGCGGTGGGCTTCTTAGCCCAGCCACTACCCTCACTTTCCACACCTGCAGCTCCTCTCAGCCTCCCGGGATCTGGGCCCAGGACGCTCAGATGTTTCCCTGGGGGAAGCGTGGCGAGAAGTTTTTTCCTGAAATCCCTTTTAGTGCAGTGTTTCTCAGCGTGAGTCCTGCCAAGGGCTGAATCAGCGGCGCCCAGGCTGCTGGCTCTGAGACCGCAGATTCCCTGGCTCCACCCTGGACCTGCTCAAGCACAAGTTGCTAGGGGTGGCCCCAGGAATCTGCATATTCAGCAGACTTCCCGCTGGTGCTTCAGCCCACGGAGGTTTGAGGAGCAAGGAGCTGGGGTCTGCAGAGTAGATCTGTCAGCGAAGCTTGCATTTGC